GTGGGTCTGCAGGCTCTCGCAAGCCGTGTGTCTGTACCGGCTTATTTCGAGCCCTCGCTATTTCAGTTTTTATTTTCTTTTGTGTAGTTGCTGCTTTTTTCTACAGCTGTGGAGCCTTAGACAGCAGCGTGTGGTCTGAAACTTCACGTGGCGCCCGTCGGGGTTCATTGTCCCTTCCACTGGCCGTGCCTTTATCAGTAGACATTTTCTTTTATCGTTCTAGGTAGCTTTTGCAGTCGGTTCTCACAGTTCTCTGTAAGTTCTCTCTCTGGGTTTTGGGGGGTTTTTTTGGATTTTTTTTTTTTTTTTTTAAAGCAGTGCCCATCATCTTGTGTGCATCTTTGTAGGGACATGTCAGCTCTTGAAAGGGTGATGTTTGTTTTGCAGATTCCGACTCCGGATCTGAATCTGATTCCGATCAGGAGAATGCGGGCTCTGGCAGTAATGCTTCTGGAAGCGACAGTGACCAGGATGATGACAGGGAGGCAGTAAAGCCTAGTAATAAGGAGTTATTTGGCGATGACAGCGAGGATGAAGGGGCATCCCATCACACGGGGAGCGACAACCACTCTGAAAGATCCTACAATCGCTCCGAAGCTTCGGGACATTCTGAGCATGAGGATAATGATCAGTCAGACGTGGACCAGCACAGCGTTTCAGAAGCTGCTCATGACGATGAGGAGGATGATCGTGGGCACGGGTCAGATGAAGGCAGCCATCACTCAGAGGGAGATGGTTCTGAAAAAGCACATTCAGAGGATGAGAAGTGGGGCAAGGAGGACAAAAGCGATCAGTCAGATGATGAGGAGCGACAGCAGAACTCTGATGATGAGGAGAGACAGCAGAACTCTGACGATGAGGAGAAAGTGCAGAACTCTGATGAAGATGAAAGGCCACAGATGTCTGAGGATGAGGAAAGACTCCAGAACTCAGATGAGGAGAAAATGCAGAACTCTGACGATGAGGAGAGGCCGCAGGTCTCAGATGAGGAGAAGATGCAGAACTCAGACGATGATGAAAGGGCGCAGCACTCTGATGAGGAGAAGATGCAGAACTCGGACGATGAGGAAAGGGCGCAGCACTCTGATGAGGAGGACCAAGAGCGTAAATCTGGTAGGACTGAGTACAGTGGTAATGATTTGCTTCTGGTTTGATCTCTCTGTATTGTTTTCATTTATATTGGCCTGCAAAGATTCAGACTTCAATGTAAAGGCATTAAACGCATAGCTTTCAACTATAGTCATCTTTGTAATGTTTTTTTATGCAGCGCTTTTAGATTCCTTTTCATCTGAATCAACTTACTAATACAAAGGAATTTTAAAATATGTGCAACAAAATTTTTAATTTGCTGAGAATAATTATGCTCCTTAGTAGAGTCTGCAAGGGGCAGTGATAGCGAAGATGAAGTTCTGCGGATGAAGCGAAAGAAACCAATTGCATCAGATTCAGAAGTGGACAGTGATGCAGAAGGACAGAAAGGTAAATGGTAGCATTGGTTTGTGGGCGTTTGGTTCATTTAATCCTCAGCTTAAGCGTGCCGTTCATTGGCTGCAGAACTTGATCAGCTTGATAGCGCTTGCTATAGGGTGTCACTATAGTGCCGTGGAAATACCAAAACAGCACGGCAAGAATTCTGTGTGGGGAAGTACATGCTGCATTTCAGCTGATTATCTCTAGTTAGCTGTATTGGTTTTTCAGTTTCCTCCATGAGAGACAGAGCTTTTCTTTTGCAAATGTTGGTTCACACGTTTTTACTGAAAGATGTTAAGAAAGGGTGCCTCTAATCAGAGTGGCCCAGAGAAGCTGTACTGGTGTTTGTGATGTTTCGCTGGCTGAGAAAGAGGTGTCAATTCTTCTGAGAAGTAAAACCTCCAAAATATGTAATGAAGTGCCTGTTTACATATATTTAAGTTGTTTACTTGAGTAAAT